TTCTTATTTTTCTTCCTTTTTTGTGTAAAATTTACTTTGCAAATTTAAAGTAACTCAAAATACTTAAATGACATTATTCGATTCACAAAAATTCGACTTCTTTTTTGCTTCACGAGGTTGAATATTCATTTCCGATATATTTTTGATTTCTGACATAGAACTTTTGTCTAAATTTACGTTATATTAAATTTATATTTAATATCAAGTTATATTTATTTACGTTATGTTAAATTTTCGATACCGCTGACGCGGCTACCACGTCACTATTTTGAGAAAAATTGTAAAAAAATAGGTAAAAAGGCCAATTTGGAAAGACTTATAACAAAAATATTCAGCAACGACAGAAAGAATTCTTATTTAATCTCATTTATGTCATAAAAGTACGAACTTTCATCTTTAAAATGCGTTTCGTTTTCGTACGATTTTTCGTTTTGGAGATATAGCTATATAAAATTAATTCTTTCCCCATACATCCCAAAAAGATATTTAATTCTACTGCAATATACTACATTGTGTGGAAAGTGCTTACATAATATCAGCAAATAATAAATAAAATAGCAGTTATTTCAGCAATTATATATATGCGGTGGTTTATAGTATAGATTATGTTGTTATCCATAATATAATCAAATATGTATACGAAATTGTTAAAGTTACCTTATTTAGTATTCTCCGATTATATTATTTAAGTAGAAAAAAACATTTCACGCAATGTAATGTTATATATCCAGACAGAATTAAAGTTTTTTTTCTTTTATAACATGAGATAAGAGCTAATTTTAAGTAGCTATATTTTGAAAACGAAATATTGTACGAGAACAAGACCAAACGCATTTTAAAGCTTAAAGATCATGCTTTCTTATTTCTTATGCTTTATTAATAAGATTAAGAAAAAAAAATTTTGCCTTGCTCCAACGTCCTGAAATTCCTCAAAACCGTTGTTTCTGGCTAGTTTTATTTAATTTCCCTCAAAATTGTCACGCGGCAACCAAATTTGAACAACAAATTCGTGTTTAGCGGCCAAAAATACGTCAGAAATGTTTATTCACGCTCATATTCACAGTGTGATTTGCCGAAACAATTGAAATAATACTTGCAAAAATGTGTTTGTTCTGTGAGAATTGCTCTTACACATAATTCATTTGCCACACAAGCAAATCCGCTCGATTGAAATTTACACGTAATTTCATTCAGCGGGCTACAGATTTGCCGAATCGACCAATCCATTTTTGTCCGTGCGTGTGGCTAACGTTTCGAAATTGCTCGTACCGCTGCGAGAGGGTCCCGGTGTCTCTTCCCCTCTGGAGGGAACCTTTCCTATATTTTCAGTCTTCTTCTTTTGGTCTTTTGCGTGCGGCCTCGAATATTCTGTAAGCCGCCGAGAGAGCCGGGCGTTGTGCGATATAAACGAGCCATTGTGAGGCGAGCGTCGATAAATCGACGCGGCGGCGGCCCGATGAGGTAAATTGTAATTTGGAGGTCGTCACATATTCAGCGGGTCGCTCGCTGTCACGCGGCGGAGCCGAGCGAAGCGCGTACGTTGACCTATCGTGTGACCTCCGACAACACGACCTTGATGTCGATGATGATGAAGTGGACGTGGATTTGCGTACGGTGAGCCTGCACATATGCGAGTCCGCGCGCGCCGCCGAAATGAATTCGCACTTTTTCCCCGCGCGCCGCGTCGTGTTTATTTTCGGAAACCAGTTTTGACAAATCGCTCGCGCACCGCGCGGCAGCATAGGACGAGCCAATTAGCGGCGTCGAGTAATCAGCGCGGGCTTGTTAATTTCGTAATTGCGATCGCGCGGTGATGTAAGCACGACACTTTCGTGATTTTTTTTCGCCGCGCTTCCTGTCAGGGAAATTCGCTTCAATACGGCACAGATTTAATTAGCCTTATACCAGGAGACCTGGTTTGTTTGTAAATAGCTTCCAAAGTCGGAATTGTTGGTATTTTCGTCTTGGAAGAGTGCAACGACGAACTGACAACTAACATTTAATGCAATTTGGTGAACAGCACGTTGGCGAAAATAAACTGCATCACAATTCGTTGTATATGCCATTGTAAATAACAGTTATATTATCCAGTGAAGAATTGGTACGGGCATCTAGAGATTAAAAGAGAAAGTAGACAGTTTGCGTCCGAGGAATCTTGCATTATCGACGCAAGATAATCTTGCGTTATCGATGCAAGATAATCTTGCTCGATTTTCCGTCAGACGGTGCAGCAGGATATCTCTTTAATCGGATGCTCAATCGAGCCTTTGTTGATTATTAAATTTAATTGCTTTCGCGTATAATAATATATATATATATATATATATATAATTAAGTTTTTTATACATAACGTACAGTTAATGAAATACGACACACAACTTATGCAAATTAATCCGGAATCGGAATCGAATCGAATTCTATCACTAAAACATAATTTCATAAATCGTCAGAATTTGCAAATATAGGAATTCTTTCTATTAATTAATTGACATTGCACGTCGTTACCTAATCAAATTGGAAAATTGACGCTGAAAGACGTGAAAGACTACTATATCTCTCTTTGTTTTCTTTAATCCATTAACCGTTGATGTTAGAAGCGAAAAAATATATGCTCAAAATTCTTGCAAAATATATTGAAATAAAAAGATAGGTATATAAAATGACGCAATTAATTTAGCAGATCTTTAAAAATAGTCTGTAAACTTTGCTTTTAACAATAAAATTTTTAATAATAAAAACATTACCATGAAATTTGTCTTTTCAATTTGTCTTGCCTCATGATTTTGTCACGTTAATTGACAATATGTTGACAATATGTATGACAATTTATTCAATTTAAGTAAAAACTCTATCAATTCAATTCAATTTAATTTAAGTAAACAAAAACGAACTCAATTTAAGTAAACAAAAACGAATTTAATTTAAATAAACAAAACTCGATTTAAATGAAGAGTGTTGATTTAAGTAAATATGTTAATGGTACTATACTCATCTAATAAATATTTGTTAATTTTTTAATATTCTTTTTGGGCATAACAACAGCTGTACTTTTCATATCATATCTATTTAATTTGGAATTACATAAATTTTCCATCTAATTATAAAATATGTAGATGTAGCAATCATAGTGTTTTTTTTGCAGCATCCCTTTAAGGTGATGTCGGAGCGAATGACGAACTTGATAATCGTCGATAACGTAGAGCGACCATTAAAAAGTAAAAAACGTTATCATCATTTACCGACGATATCGAATTTATGTACCCATAGATACTTATGGAATAAAGGTCGCGATCCGTTACACGCTTCCAACAACAGCGAGCGTCATTCTATCTTGCTCGTTAAACAAAGATAGAATGACGCTCATGGCCGTTGGGAGCGTGTAATGGATCGTGGACAAATAGGCTAACATGATACCGCTATCATCTTTTCACAGATGTTATGCAAGTGTGTGTGCTACGTTGTCATTTCAAATTTCTTACACATAGACGTTACATCAATGTAAATGCCACGTTACCGATATTCGCATTCTCTCCAAAATAGGCTCTTGCTACTTTTCTGATGAATTCTTCAAACCGCTTATGTACTGAGTGCATCAAAGAAAGAATTTTTAGGGAAGAATGTTGTAAGCGCAAGCTTAGTTTGCGAATAATTTTTGAAAAATATATTACCTATTATTTGAGTTTCCAATATAATTAATAACGGTAATTTGAGATATAATTTTCATTTCGCACTGGCCAATATTATACTACGTTATCGACGCTTATCAAGTTCGTCGCTCGCTCCGGCATCTCCTTAAGTGGAATAAAAGAATTAAAATTTTTACGCGTATGAAAATAAGATTTGAGAGTGAAAAGTACTCGCTAAAATTATTTGACGTATTTCAAAGATTCGTTATCATCGCGCTCGTAATATTTATATTTATTGGGAGTACAAATTAGTTCGGTCCGTTTTTTTGTGGTCAAAAATACATTTATTTTAGAACAAAATGAATGAACAGATTAATCAAAGTATTGTCCATCACTGGCTACTACTTTTTCCCACCTCTCAGGCAATTTTCGAATTCCATCTTGAAAAAATGTCTCGTCTTTTGAGGCGATCCAAGTTAGGAGCCAATTTTCGATTTCTCCGAAAGAAGTGAACCGGTGACTTGCCAAATCGTGCTGCATCCGTCGGAACAACCAGTAATCAGAAGGAGCAATGTCCGGTGAATACGGCGAGTGCGGTAAAATATCCCACTTGAGCGTTTCCAAATAATTTGTTACGACTTTTGCGACATGAGGCCGAACGTTATCATGCAGAAGAATAACTTTGTCATGTCTTCCGGCCGTTTTTCTCGTAATGTACGGCTCAAACGAGTCAACTCCCAATGATTCTGCAAGCTCCTCTTGCGTTTGACTCGGATCTTCATCGAGTAATGCCTCCAATTCTTTGTCTTCGAATTTTTTTGGCTGTCCAGAGCGAGGCTTGTCTTCAACGCTGAAATCACCATTCTTGAAACGTCAAAATCATTCCCTACATGATTTATCAGTTGGAGCATTGTCACCATAAACTTCTACAAGCATTCGATGCGCTTCAGCTGCACTTTTCTTCCAATTAAAGCAGAAAACTAAAACCTCCCGCAAATGCTGCTTAGTTAACAAAATTTGACATATTCAACACAGTAAAAAACAGAGGTTTTGTATGAAACTCAAAGCGATATAAACTGAATATTATTGACAGATGTCTAACCTCTCTGAAACCATCGAAATCAGATGTCACTATGAAACATTCATAACAGCCAGAGCCATCTTTTGAAAACGGACCGAGCTAATTTGTACTCCCAATATATGTTCGAGAAAGTGTGAAGCTTTACTTCGCAAAGATCTTACTCGACGATGGCGCGTGCGAAAACAGGAGAGGAATTCCAAAGTAGTACTCCCATGTAAATAATTACATTTATTTATTTATCAATTTTAGTGTAACAGAGTGTATAGGATACGCTGAATATAGAATAATCTCTCTTTTTTTTTTATATTTTAATAGTTTACTAATTAAGGCGATTAGTGTGTAAGTGACTCCGTCGGAACATACATAATATTATAATATTATAGCACATTGTGACTCGTATCTTGGTCGTGTGTGATCGAGTCCGAACGTACACTTCGGACCTTCTCGGACCTCCTCCCTGTCTCTCGGACAGTTTTCTCTCACGCGCGAGTCGCTCGCACGTGGACTCGGTTCACGCGGCGTTACACTTACTTTCGTTCGTGTTTCTGTATTACAATAGATTTGATATTAAGTATCTTGTAACGAAGTAAATTATACTGTGAGACGTTAGTTCCTCTGTGTATGTGTGTATATGTGTGGGTTTTACTTTATTTTATATTATTATTTTTTTTTATATATTCCTACAGTACTCGTGCGGATAAGGCCACAATTAGTGTTTCCGCGTGTGCGTCCGCCGCACACCCGTACGCATTAGTATGCTGGTTGTGTGTGTATTGTATGCCTGTGGTGTGAATATATTCGTGTATGTGTGTATGTGTCTCCATTGCGTCTTCCTTCGTTCTCTCTATCCCTTCCCCTTCTTCTTCTTCCTCGATAAACTTCCTCTGACATGTGTTAGTGCGAGAAATGCCTGCAGCGTCGTGTAGTGTCGTATGTGTACGTATGTTGCATGTGACGTGTGATGTGTATGTGTGATTCACACGGGTCGATGACGGATCCTTACGACAGTGAGCGCCTGTCTCTCTCGACGGGCGAGAGAAAGGGGAGAGAAGGACTCGGAAGAGAGAACAGCCACCTCACAACCGAGGACTTGTTTCTCCTTCTTGCGCGTTTGTGCTCGGGAAAATTAATGGCGGGATCGGCGGGGGGATCATAGAGCATTCGGCTGGTTAAGTACCACAGCTGTACGGCGTTGTAAACAGGGAAAAAGAGAGAGAGAAACAGAGAGAAAAAAAGAGAGAGAGAGAGGAAGGTGGTAGTGTGATAATAGTAGTAGTGGTAGTGGTAGTAGTAGTAGCAACAATAACAGTAGTAGTAATAGTGGTAGTAGTAGAGTAATAGTAGTAGTGATAGTGTATTACTGGCGAGTTTGCGTCGCCGTGACGCGCATGTACACTTGGTTTCAACACACCTTTCTTTTCTCAATGGAACACAACTGATGGTCCAATGAGAGGATTTGCTTTTGATTTGCAGTTTCCAGAAGTAAAGTTCTCTCATCGGTCAATCGGCTGCGTCCCAAATCACATCGAGAGAGAAGTGTCCAAATCGCAGCCAAATGTACATTCGTTTGTACGATGGCTTTTGCCTTTTCCGTAGAGATTAGGAGCGCATTGAATTGCCATGACTGGGAGCCACTGTTCACGAGCTTATGTGGTAATACGAGACAATGGACGTCTCAACTCCAACGGAGGATTCAGGAAAAATGTATTTCTATTATACTGTTATCTATCAGGTAAGAGTACAATAAAGGATCACCATTTCACTGTGACTTCTGTCGTTTTGTGTCAATTGATTACCGTGCAAGCGGTGGTTCGCAATCATAATCATTTGAAGTGCTCCTGTCTTCATCAGAAAAAGCGTGTACAGTTGTGGACTAAAAGGTTGTCCATAATTTTCGGGATGAGTTTGTGAACTCTCCGTCTTGTCCAATGGAAGAATTCGTTTTCCGACGGGGGAATGCTGCCACTGGAAAAGATGGATGAGTTGAAAACAAAGAATTGGAAACCTTTTAGTCCACGACTGTACAAGCCGTAGTGCAAACGAGCACATGTAGTGCCAATACGGTTTGAACACTTTCATCTGATTTCTCAATACGATTTGGGATGCAGCCGATGGTCCAATGAGCGAACTTATTCTAGATCAATTCGGAGAAGTTAAATTCTCTCATGTGGACCATTGGCTGCGTTCCAAGCTGCATCAAGGGACTTATTGGAAGCAAGTGTACGTGTCGCACTGTCGCGTTTTCTTTTTTTGTCTCGAGCGGAAGTACAATATCGTTGTGTATGTGTGTATATAAAATTTAGTTTTTTGTAAGAATATATATATATAAGTATATATGCATATATGTATGTATAGGACTCTCTTGGCGCGTACGCGCGCATGTCTCTCTACCGTTGTACAAAGCGAAAACGATATCAATATTAGTAACGTCACGAGGACGCGCGGGGACCCGCGCTCGACGTCGCGTTGTTACGCTAAGGCGATTTGATTTTCCTCCTCCTCCTCCTGCTTTTCATCGTCGAGCTATTTGGCCAGCTTCTCCCTTCCTCGCTGCCCGAAGGGACCCGAAATTTCGATCCAGCTTCGACTCCTCGGTGTCGCTGGGCGCGACGACGATCGAGCGGATCGTTTGTGTCGCTCGCGTATATATAAGACGGACACGAATCATTGGCGAATTCTTCACGAAGCACACGCAGAACGAAAATCCGACAAGAACAAACAGACTAATGTCGCTACGACTACTGAGCTAGAAAGAAGACGATCCACCCCGTCGATCCCGCATCGCGCCGACGTCCTCCTCTTCCTCTTCTTCTTCTTCCTCGCCGATCGATCGGTGTTCACGAGATCCCCGATCGAGGCGAGGGAAGAAGGTCGTTCTCGGGAGAAATTGCGGAGAGAGAAGTCGGCGTGAACGATCCCGTCGGGACGCGCGTTGAGGGCTTGCTTATAAGATAAAGCTACTATATGAGCGAACGCGAACTCCTCCATCCCCTTTCCCTTCGCCTCCCTCCTCTCTCTCTCTCTCTCTCTTTTATTTTTGTTCGCAATATTTATTATTACGCTTTTTTTTACTTCGTCACGTTTGTCGCTGTGTCGTCCAGGCGAAGCTCTACGAAAGCTCTACTAAGCTCCCCGTCCGTCGTTCGTGCGTCGCGTCCGCGTCGCGTTCGAGTCCGTGCGAAGTCGCGACGACGCTCTCTCCTTCTTTGTGTGTGTTCCTTTTTCTTGGTTTTCTTTCCTTCTTCACGGCACGCGGTGGAGTTGGTTTGACGATTATGCGCTCGTCGCGGCGCTGCACCCCGGATGCCCGTCCTCCGCTCTCCTAATCGTCCTTGCTCACCCCCTTCGCTTCGCTACCCGTCGAGCCCGTTGTCGTTCACGTTGTCGTAGCGAGGCCGCGCTGAAGCTCCCTTACATCAGCTTCATCTTGGCGCACTCGGGGCAGATGATGTCGTCGCCGTCGGTGATGAAGCCGCGCCCGACCAGCGAGGTTTTGCAGCCCGCGCAGATGAAGCAATCGTTGTGCCAGTGCCTGTCCTCGAAGGAGATGAAGCGAGTGCCGCCGATACCTGCAAGTCGAACGGTGATTCGCGGTTAGATCATGCTAATGCAAGCTCTTCGCTCGTCGTGTTGCCTATCCATATGCGACTTTCATAACGCGTTTTTCCGCATCGCGTGGGTGCGGAGAAATTTATGTGATCGGCGTCGCAATGTTCATACAGACTGCTCCGGTCTTCTTCGCGCAATTTTTTTTTAACGACTGCGGTTATTGAAATTTTATATGTGTAAGTACGAATTTATTTAAATATAGGTTAGAAAAAAAAATATATATATAAGATAAATAAATGAATGTAATATTAATCTTAATTTTAATATTATATATATTATATTAAATAAATATATTTTATATATACATATAAGATAAATAAATGAATATAATAAATATAAATAAAAAAATAATGTATTCAAATATAATATAACATATTATAAAAATTATAAAACATATTATAAAACATATTATAAAACGTATTATAACATATAATATAATATAAAATATAATATAACATATAAGATAAATAAATGAATATAATAAATATAAATTAAAAAAATAATGTATTCAAATATAATTGAAATTAATTTAATTTGGTTTTAGGGGAGTTTCTGAGTCAGACAGCTGAAAGACAGGAGATTTTTACGAATTTTTTTCACAAAGAAGTGAATAAAAATATCAATATATATGTAGAGTTCTGATCGCTACTTATCATTATTTTAAGTATAAAAATTATTAAAAGGATTGAAGTTTTAAATCTTTATTTTATACTAAAAATATAAGGTAAAAATCCTATATTGATATCTTTGTTCATTTTTTGGAAAAAAATTGTAAAAATTTCTTTTTTCGGAATTATCTCGACCAGAATCTCCCTTTAAAATTTATATATATATATTCTGATTTAACTTTAGAATTATTTATTAAATGAAATCCGATTTAATTTAATTTTATTGTCAGATATCATGTAGATTTTTGTAGATTTGAGTAACTCTCGAAGAAACAAACGATGTTTATATGAGAAATTTCTCTCATATTCTGCGTAGCTGAGAAAATGAAGGGTAAGTCGCGTGAAGTTATATTTTCTCGAGAACTATTAGAGATAACGATGAAATAATTTCCTCGGTTTCTATGGTTCAATAAGGCCTTTTGTGTGATAGAATACCCCGCGAGATTCTTTCGCAGGGAGGGGGAAATAGAGAGTCCCTCTTATATATTTCTTCAGCTACGCAATATGCAAAAAGATTCCTCAAATAAACATTATTGTTTTTCAGGGAACTATCTATATCCGTAAAAATTTATATTTATTTACAGCATATAAGAAAATTTATGCGCCATTTTATTTAACAAAGAAATAGAGCGGCCTCTTTTTAACATACGTTATAAATATTTTTAAAATTACGAAAATCGCTATCAGTAACAAAAGAAATAGCGCACAAACTGCACCATAAAACGAATAAACTATTTTAATTTGATAATAGCTTAAGAGTTATTATTATTGTTAGTATTATTCTTAAGTGAAGAGTGTTGTGTGAAAAGAAAATCAGCGTGTGACGGGAGGAATACGTGAAATCTTTTTATGTATCGAACAATTCATCGCTAAAGTCGCGGATGCACACGATCATTGAAACATGATCAGCAGGAGGAAGGGACGTACCGGTAATTGGCTTGGAGCAAGCGGTGCATCTCTTGGCGAAGAGCTCGCCGAAGCAATCGGCACAGTACGGCTTGTCGTCGCGCGACGTGAATCGCTGACCCGCCAGGGAGTTGTTGCAGTTGCTGCAGGTGAAGCAGTCTCTGTGCCACGGCTCGTTCTTGTACGTCACGCCGCCGCTGGTGATGATCTGCGATCAGAATTTCATCCAGAAGAATTAATTAAATGGACTTGAAGGCGCGCGCCGAGCTCGACCTTCTGTTCTCTTCCCTCCGACGCGATGGTCGAGATAGACGCGGAGGAGTGAGTCAATGTTACATCGGGGGAAACCAGACCCACCTTGTTGCACTTGACACACCGAGTGGCGAACTTGTCCTCGTAACAGCCGGCGCAGTAAATCTCCTGCTCGCGCGGGATGAAGCTCTTCGTGCCGATCGGGTTCTTGCAGACCACGCAGCAGAAGCACTTCTCGTGCCACTGTCTGGTCTTATATTCCATCTTCTTGGTGCCTGAAATGTGCAAGTAAGACTCCTAAGTATCCCTGAGGAAAACCCAACGGAATGAATAGAGCGTATAGACTTAGGTTCTTATTATGAGCTCTCTTTTATCGATAAAAGTGCCTCTAAATGTCTTCTGATTGGCTTTCAGTCACAGGCACTTTTATGGGTAAAAGAGAGTTCAGAATAAAAATCATAATCTCGAAATTATATCTTTATATTATTTATTTAGGTGTAATCCGCGTGTAATTTGTATATTTTTCAGCGATCTCGCTTTGGCACATTAGTCATTCAATGTGCGATTCGTTCTCTTTATAGCTTCGTTTTAGTGTCATCAATAAGGAAATTACACCTACAACTAACGTCATCTAACCGTGAGCCTAACAGGAACTAAGTTTACCACCTAATAAGTTTCGTTTCTGAAGATCCCCTCCTTTCAATAATACTTCCCAGACACGAGAACTTCCCTCAGCAAAATTCTCATCCTTTCATATCTATCATTGAATGATCTCTGATTAGCCGCGGGGAGGAGAAGGAGGGAAAGCCAGCGGCGCGCGCCAGCAGGGCGCCTTTTTTTGTCGCGAGACCCTCGCAGCGGACCATGCAAATCGAGCCCCTAAATAAGGGATGGCGGGGTCGTTGGTCCGCGCTGCAGCGTCTAGACGAACGGGTGGTTGCGTGCGGCGACTCGCGAGCCGCATTGCCGTAAGTTTGTTCGCGTGCAATGTCGTCGTCCGTCCGCCGACTCCACCACTCATCGCTGCGTTTCCTCAGCGGCATAAATTTTTCGCGAATTTCCTCGCGAGCTTACCCCCTGCTTACCCGTCGCGGGCTGCAAGACAGCCTCCCTCCTCCCTCCTCCTACGCCCTGCCGCGGTGTTCACGTAGCGTTCGTGAATCAGATCGATTCGCGGAATTTCTTCGGCCTCGGTTTGACGTCGCGGGTTCGCCACTCGGTCTCTCCCCCGCTTCGTTCCCGTTTCGTTCGTACGTCGATGGTTCTTCTAACGCGCCTCGCGATCCGCAATTAGCGCGCGAACAGGTGCAGGAGGTCTCACGGGAAGAGGGACAGCTGGAAACGCGAAGTTAACCACACTGTGGTCTCGGGACTTTCGTCGGCGAATCGTTCGCGATAAACCTAGAAAGCTTGTTTGCATATGCATGCTCGGGGTGTAAATTACCTTGAGCCCGCTGTTTACGCAGCGCTTTACACTGGCCGAGATTTTGACAATTCTTCCTATACGAAAATCTCGAGGTTGTAATTTACGAGATATGAGCGATTGGGAAAGCAAGGCTTGTCGCAAACTAAGCTTCAAACGAACGCGGAAAACGAAATTGTTTTCTTTAATCAATTTCAAGTGGACTTTTGAATTGCGGAATTTTAATTTCAGACTTGGCTACAAAGATATGTTATGTTGAAAATTGAAAAATTGTTATAAATAATGATTCTTACTGAAAAAAATGGTTGGTCTTACTAAAATTATTTACTTAGTTATTTTTGGATCCTATTACATATTTTTTGGTTTTTCTAATATAAAAATGATAATAATAATATGTTAGTTATTATACTGGTTATTGACAAATGATTATTATCACGAACAATTTAGCAAAAAAAAATAGTTTTTTGATCATTATTTATAGTAATTATTTCTCTACATGATTACAGTTACAAATACCAAACATTTTTTTTCTCAGGTCATCTATATTTTTATCAATAAAATAATGGCAAAATTTTTACAATCGCCAATTGTCACAAAAAATTGTGCCTTATATTTTGTAGGTCCAAATAGACTTTCATGATTATTTCGAGAATTGATGGTATAAAAATTCTTTTAATTACATTCTTAATTACCTCTATGAAGCAAATATACTGTTTTGAATTAATCATAAAATTTATATCATATGATAATGTAAATTTTGTGTTACATTGATACACAGCGACAAATTTACTAAAATTTATGCTCGAATTTCCCTTACACATATTTTACATGACAAGTTGTTTTAAGCACATTTTTCATTCTTTTCATATCTTTCATATTTTTTCATATCTTTTCATATTTCTATTTCGTCATTGCGTGTGATAAATATGAGTGCCATATGAGTCACACATAAAAAGGAGAAGGATCCATCAAGGGGGTTTCTTCGAGGTTGGTAATGCGATTTAGTAAAATAAGATTATTGTTAAAATGATTATTGTATTATTGATTAAGATTATTGTAAAATGTCTCATAACAATCTTTTAAGTCGACACTATTGAAAAATGTCCCCTTGGAAACATAAAAAAAAATCTACTAAATAGCATTTTTCTACACGATTTATCGCCGTTTAAGGTATTTTCACGTGGCGACGAAGGTGACATAAACTATTTTGAATCATTAACTTGAAATATATACTCTCTGTTATTACTTAAATTACGGTCTATTATTCTTTTATCAATTGGTATGCGATTCATTATTAACCACGAGCAATCTAAAATGGATAACTTTTTTTTTACCACGAATAGCGCTATGTAAATAATGAGCGCGAAATAGTTTACACTTTACATATGATTGTCGATTTTTATCTAGAGATGAGAATCACATATGGAAAGAAGAATTTTATGATTTACACTCTCAAAGTAAAAATGACGATTTCACTATTTCGTGTATTACTCTTAAATTAAAAGAGATAGAAAGAAATTTTTCGAATAAAAGTTTAATGGTAAGTTAAATGCTGTAAATTGACATAAGCATAAATAAAAAATACTTTTTTTTATTGTAAAAAAAATTTTTTTATATGTATTTTTTTATTTATGTTTATGTCAATTTACAACACTTAACTTACCATTAAACTTTTATGCGAAACATTTTTTTCTATCTCCTTTAATTTTTCTATCTTTTAATTTTAAAAGTAATACACGAAAAAGTGGAATCGTTCTTTTTACTTTGAGAGTGTAATAAATCATATCTTTAAATAGCGATAAGGCACAAGTGTAATATATCGTTATTCATGCATTAATTTACTCTACATATTCACAAAAGTGTATCAAAATCAAAGAGTTCGGATTCGCGGTATTCCCTTATGAGTAGAAATAAATGTCTAAAATCGGGATTAGTCATGTGGTTTTCTTTGAGATTGCGTTCACGCAACTTTAAGACGTTAGCCGTGCCGTCGTGAAATAACTGTGATCCGCCAGTTGGGAACGACAGGCTCGGTTACTGCGTGTTTTCGTTAAGATTAGAGGCATTATGCGCGAGAAACGTGACGTGACGTAACGCTGTCTAAGTCGCAAGTATCGTCATCTCGTTATCGTGGTCACGTTCTAGACTGTGATTTGAGAAATGGCAAGATAGACGCCAAAGATCGTTGATTCGCAGAAACGGAGACGTATTATCTGTCGCTAATGTCATATGAGAGAGAGAGAAAGAGGGAGAGAGAGGGTAAAAAATGTGTACTTAAAATTTGAATTTTTATTAATTGATGTAAAAAGATCTGCCCTTTTTCTATGAAATTCTGACTCGTTGTTTATTGATTTGATTAAAAAAATGATACTTCGAAACTAGATAACTTTGTCATCAATTTTATTTGACGAGAAACCTTTTGGATCAACCTAATACATAAAAAGGACACTGAAAACACTATTTCAGATAAACGATAAAAAGTAAAGATAAAATAAAGTTTAAGACAAAATTATGAAGATAAAATTTACATACGTGTAATATTCAAAAAAGCTCGCGTTATACACAGAAAAAAACATTCTTGTTTTGAAAATATTTTTATATTTTACATGTAAATCTTAAAATGAGATTATATAGCATTAAACGAAAATAAGTTGCATCAATTCATATTTTATGATTTAATAAAGAAAAATGTATTCTCATTATTCAGAAATAATTTTCATGAATAGAAAACACAACATATTGAATTGAAAATATGATGTTTTTAAATGCCTGAAGAAGATATCAAAATAAACTTTTTCTGAAAGTCTATTATAATATTCAGATAAAATTATAACATGTTGAAGTTTAAGACTTTAAATATATATTAAAATCAAATAAAACTATAACATGTTGTTGAAGTTGAAGACTTTAAAATTCCTCTAATAAAATTATATATCATTGCTTACATATGAAAAACAGTGATTGTTAATTTGAGTATATTAATTTAAGCGGATACTAATTTTTTCTTGTGTATCAACGGATCAACGGATTTATTTTAATAATTTTATTAACTTAATTTGCTATATTTTCCCTTTCTCCAAACAAAAAAGTATTTTTTGGAAAAAATGCAGTCGCCAAAAAAAAGTTCTTCTGCCTTTGAATGCGTCTATTTCGCGTTTGACGCGGCACAATGCGCGAGCAGCTCGCTAAAGATGGACACATTCCGATATCTTTCGTGCGATACGCCGCCTCGTGGACCACTATGACTCAAGTGGAGATTCGTGACGTCACGTCGGCCGAGCAATACCTCCGTATATGTATAAAGCTGATGGCCCAAGGCCGATATGGTAATCTCACGCCCGTCCTTTTAATCCGCGTGCGCCACGGATCCCGTGCTCGTTAACAATTGAAAAGAAAAAAAAGAAAACGGCTCGTTGGGTCGTCGCGAATGAAACGGTCGGGTTTTACATTCTTAAGAGCGTATTAAAGCGCAGTTGATTCGTAATACTTCCTCTTCGCGTCCACGAAAGCAGCGTCGTCAATTGTCGTCGCATCCCTCCCTCCCGACGTTCAGCGAACGTTAACGCGACCGTGCGAAAGAGTTTTACGGTTATCGCTCGTCAAATTGGTAACGCGCCCTCGTAAATCCCTCGGGCTACCCGCCGAAGGAGGGGGAAGAAGAGGAGGAGAAGGAGAAGCAGGGGAATGAAACGGAGGAAGCTGCCTTTCCTACGTCAAGTCTAAATATAATGCAACGAGAAGAGCTACCGGAGTCCTAAAATTTCTCCGACCTCGGCTCGCGTTTGAGCGCGCGCGCAAAATCGACGACTGCGCATCTCGCGCACGCAAATTTTCTACGTAGATTTTGCCTTT